GGACCCACTTGGGGGCGAAAATGAACGCCTCGCTCGAGACATCCTCCAAATCTGTTCCGGAAGCAGAGGATGTTGAGTTGGTGAATAAGCAAACCGCTCGAGACATCGAACGGAGAGGATGCCATACCCCCTGGCGGCTCCCCTTTGGGGGTGTTGAAACCTGCGCCTCACTCGACATCCTCGAGTCTGGCCACCAAAATTACTCGACGCGGAGATCCCCACAAGTGCATTTCACAGTGATGGCAAACTTCGGTAAAACACATTGTCCTTTTCGATATCCGAGTGTCAGCGAATCCACGTGATAAACGAGGCCAGAGAGACGCCGACGACTACGACGACTTTAAGTAGTTGCTTTCTCCGTCCGTCCTCCTCCTCCTCCTCCTCCTCCTCCTCCTCCTCCTCCCTGTCCTCCTCCACTTTCTCCCCCTTTCCTTACGAACGCCTGTCAGGAAAATCCATCCGTGAAGACGAAAACGGGCCTTTGCAATACCCCCTGGCGCCCCCCCTTGGGAGTGCTGAAACCAGCGCCTCGCCTGAGACATCCTTGGGAGCTGCTCCGAAAGAGAAGGATGTTGGACACCCAATCAGGCAAACCGCCTGAGACATCCCCCCAATCTGGGCGCAAACGGAGGAGTGCAATACCCCCTGGCGTCCCCCCCTAGGGAGTACTGAAACCATCGCCTCGCCTGGGACATCTTCGGGAACTGTTCCGAAAGAGAATGATGTTGGGCACCCAAACAGGCAAACCGCCTGTGACATCCCCCTTGGTGCCCCCCCGTGGGAGTACTGCAACCAGCGCCTCGCCTGAGATATCCTCGGGAACTGCTCCGAAAGAGAAGAATGTTGGACACCCAATCAGGCAAACCGCCTGAGACATCCCCCCAATCTGGGCGCGAACGGGCCTGTGATATACATCCTGGCGCCCCCCCCCCCCCTTGCGAGTATTGAAACCAGCGCCTCGCCTGAGACGTGTCAGGCACCGGGACAGGCAAACCGCTCGAGACATCCCCACCATTTCGGCACGAACGGACGAGTGCAATACCTCCTGGCGGCTCCCCCTTGGAGGCGAAAGTGAGCGCCTCGCTCGCGACATCCTCCAAATCTGCTTTGAAAGCGGAGGACGTCAGCCACCAAAACAAGCAAACCACTCAACGCATCCCCGCCACGTTGGCGCGAACGGAGGAGTGCAATACCCCCTGGCTGCTCCCCCTTGTAGGCGAGAATGAGCGCCTCGCTCGAGACCTTCTCCAAATCTGCTCCGAAAGCGGAGGGTGTCGGCCACCAAAACAGGCCAACCGCTCGAGACATCCCCGCTGCGAGCGGAGGACCCTTGGAGGTGAACATGGGCGCCTCGCTAGAGGCATCCTCCCAATCTGCTCCTAACGCGGAGGGTGTCGGCCACCAACACAGGCCAACCGCTCGAGACATCCCCACCGTTTTGGCGCCAACGGAGGAATGCAATACCCCCTGGCGGCTCCCCCTTGGAGGCGAAAGTGAGCGCCTCGCTTAAGACAGTCTCCAAATCTGCTCCGCAAGCGGAGGATGTTGGGCAACAGGCAAACCGCTCGATACATTCCCGCCATTTTGGCGCGAACGGACGAGCGCAACACCCCTTGGCGGTTCCCCTTTGGAAACGAAAATGAGCGCCTTACTCGAGACCTTCCCCAAATCTGCTCCGAAAGCGGAGGATGTCGGGCATCAAAACAGGCAAACCGCTCGAGACATTCCTTTCATGTTGTCGCGAACGGAGGAGTGCAATACCTCCTGGCGCCCCCCCTTTGGGAGCATTGAAACCAGCGCCTCGCCCGAAACATCTTCACAACGTGTGTGTGAGTCTGGGCGCGGAAATACCAGGAGTGTCAGTGAGTCTGCATATGAGTGATCCCGAGCATGAGAAACCTGAGTATCAAGAACCTAAGAGCGAGTGTATCTGAGTATCAGTGAGTCTGAATAGGAGCGAGTCTACATGTGAGTGAGTCAGAGAATGATGACCTGAGGGTGGGAGGTGTTGAGGGTGGGAGGTGTGCGTGTGTGTGTGTGTGTGTGTTCTCTCGCGTCCCGCGCGGTTTAAGTCATTCTTCGACGCGGGGGTCCTCACATGTGCATCTCATAGTGTTGGCAAATTTCGGTAGAAGACATTGTCCTTTTCAATATCCGAGCGTCAGCGAACCCACGTGGAAAACGAGGCCGAGAGAGACGCCGACGACTACGACGATTTTAAGTAGGTGCTTGCTCCTTCCGTTCTCCTCCTCCTTGTCCTCCTCCACTCTCTCATCCTTTCCTTACGAACGCCTGTCAGGAAAATCCATCCGTGAAGACGAAAACGGGCCTGTGCAATACCCCTGGCGCCCCCCCTTGGGAGTGCTGAAACCAACGCCTCGCCTGAGACATCCTCAGAAACTGCCCCGAAAGAGAAGGATGTTGAGCACTCAATCAGGCAAACCGCCTGAGACATCCCCCCATTCTGGGCGCAAACGGAGGAGTGCAATACCCCTTGGCGTCCCCCCTTGGGAGTGCTGAAACCAGCGCCTCGCCTGAGACATCCTCGGGAGCTGCTCCGAAAGAGAAGTATGTTGAGCACCCGAACAGGAAGACCGCCTGAGACATCCCCCCATTCTGGGCGCGAACGGGCCCGTGCAATACCCCCTGGCGTCCCCTCTTGGGAGTACTGAAACCAGCGCCTCGCCTGGGACATCTTCGGGAACTGTTCCGAAAGAGAAGGATGTTGGGCACCCAAACAGGCAGACCGCCTGAGACATCCCCCCATTCTGGGCGCGAACGGGCCTGTGACATCCCCCCTGGCGCCCCCCCCGTGGGAGTACTGAAACCAGCGCCTCGTCTGAGACATCCTCGGAAACTGCCCCGAAAGAGAAGGCAAACCGCTCGAGACATCCCCGCCATTTTGGCACGAACGCACGAGTGCAATACCCCCTGGCGACTCCCCCTTGGAGGCGAAAGTGAGCGCCTCGCTCGAGTCCGGAAGCGGAGGATGTCGGTCACCAAGACAGGCAATTTGCTCGAGACATCCCCGCCATTTTGGCGCGATCGGAGGCGTGAAATAGCCCTGGCGACTCCCCCTTGGAGGCGAAAATGGGCGCCTCGCTCGAGACATCCTCCAAGTCTGTTCCAAAAGCGGAGGATGTCGGGCACCAAAACAGGCAAACCGCTCGAAATATCCCCGCCATTTTGGCGCGAACGGAAAAGTGCAATACCCCCTGTCGGCTCCCTCTTGGGGGCGAGAATGAGCGCCTCGCTCGAGACATCCTCCAAATCTGCTCCCGAAAGCGGAGGATGTCGGGCACCAGAACAAACAAAACGTTCGAGGCATCCCTGCTTCTTTGGTGCGAACGGAGGAGTGCAATACTCCATTGCGGCTCCCCATTGGAGGCGAAAATGAGCGCCTCGCTCGGGACATCCTCCAAATCTGCTCTAGAAGCGGAGGATGTCGGGCACCAAACCAGGCAAACCGCTCGAGACATTCCCGCCATTTGTGCGCGAACGGAGGAGTGCAGTACCCCCTGGCGCCCCCTCGTTGGGAGTACTGAAACCAGCGCCTCGCCTGAGACATCCTCACAGCGTGTGTGTGAGTCTGAGCGCGGAAGTACCAAGAGTGCGAGTGAGTCTCCATATGAGTGATCCCGAGCATATCTGAGTATCCAAACTTCAAGAACAAGTGTATCTGAGTATGAGTGAGTCTGAATGGGAGTGAGTCGACATGTGAATGAGTCAGAGAATGATGACCTGAGGGTGGGTTGAAGGTGTGTTCTCTCTCTCTCTCTCTCGCGTTCCGCGCGGTCTTAGTAATAACAAGAACCCCATCCTTAGGATGTGGGGAAGTACAAGAACCCCATCCTTAGGAGATGGGGAACAAGCAAGCCGATCGAGACATCCGCAAAATCTGGCCCCACCTTGGGCCGAAACTGAACGCCTCGTTCGAGAAGTCCTCCACATCTGCTCCGACAGCGGAGGATGTTGAGCTGGAACAAGCAAACGGCTCGAAACATCCCCGCCATTTTGGCGCGAACGGAAGAGTGCAATATCCTTGGCAGTTCTCTTGTGGGTGCTGAAACCCACGCCTCGCTCGAGACATCCTCGAATCTGGGTGCAAAAAACAAGCAAACCGATCGAGACATCGTCAAAATCTGGACCCACTTGGGGGCGAACATGATTGCCTCGCTCGAGGCATCCTCCAAATCTACTCTGAGACGTCCTCAAAATCTGTCTCCGCTTGGGGGCGACAATGAAAGCCTCGCTCAAGACATCCTCCAAATCTGCTCCGAAAGCGGAGGATGTTGAGCTGGGAGACAGGCGAACCATCATCGTCGTCATCATATTCTGATCGTCACCATTCGGCACCATCATATTCTGAGTGCATCATCATACTCTGAGTATGATGGGAAATAGAGGGACGAGGGGAGGAGGAGCAGCAGGGGGAGGAGGAGAGGAGGAGTGAGGAGGTCCGCGCGGTCAAAATAATAACAAGAGCCCCATCCTTTGGATATGGGGAATAGCAAGAAGCCCATCCTTTGGGAATGGGGAATATAACAAGAACCTCATCCTATGGATATGGGGAACAAGAACCCCTCCAAAGGATATGGGGAATAACAATAACTACATCTTAGGATATGGGGAAACATAGTATGGGCACGACGTTTCTACCATGTTTGACTATGCTTGAGTCGTTGTTTGACTAGTGTTCGCTTTTCTCACAACATCCGCCTGTAGGAGGACATGCCCGACCTGACCCAAAGGCTCCCTCCGCGTCTCTCCTCCGCTGCCTCCTCGCCCGCCTGCCCTCCGCTCCCCCTCCCCCTCGCCCTCTCCCTCCTCCTCCTCCCCCTCCTCCTCCTCCTCCCCCTCCTCCTCCTCCTCTTCCTCCTCCTCCTCCGCCTCCTCCCCCTCCTCCTCCTACTCCTCCTCCTCCTCCTCCTCCTCCTCCTCCTCCTCCTCCTCCTCCTCCTCCTCCTCCTGGCCGCCGACCCCTCCCCTGGCCGGCACAGGGAGCGCGAGCCGCGGCCCCCGAAGAAGCGAGACAAGGACTGAGCTCTGCAGAGGGCGGCAGCGCAGGGAGCGCTGGCGCGGGCGCGGGGCCGCCGCCGGCGCAGGGTCGGCCGGAGGTGCAGAGGAGGCGCAGGGTGAGGCGGCGGAGGAGGAGGAGGGGGAGGAGGAGGCGGAGGAGGAGGGGGAGGGGGAGAAGGAGGCGGAGGAGGAGGCGGAGGAGGAGGAGGAGGAGGCCCTCCTGTGGTGAGGCGCAGGGTGAGGCGCGGGGATGGGGGAACAAAAAGTGGCCGAAACATAAAAACTCGGAGGTCCTCGCGGATTTCTCGGATCGGCGGATTTTCTAGGGCCAGAGGTGCAGAGGAGGCGCAGGGTGAGGCGGCGGAGGAGGAGCGGGGGGGCGGAGGGCAGAGGAGGAGGGAGCAGGAAGCAGAGGAGGGGGGGAGGAGGACTGAGTTGGCAGAGGGCGGCAGCGCGGGGAGCGGCGCCGGCGCGGGCCGCCGCTGGCGCCGGTCGGCCAGAGGTGCAGAGGAGGCGCAGGGTGAGGCGGCGGAGGAGGACGAAAGGGGGGGGTGGGAAAGGAGGGGGTTACGAGATCTGCTGCATGCAGCCGGTTTCGGCCCCTCCGAGGGGCCCATTCCTCGATACACAGTCGCCTCTGGCGACGGGAGGCGCCGGGAGGCGCCGGGTGGCGCAGGGTGAGGCGGAGGAGGAGCGGGGATAGGGGAACAAAAAGTGGCAGAAACATAAAAGCTCGGAGGTCCTCGCGGACTTCTCGGATCGGCGCTGGGGCCCCCCGGCGGCGCGCCGCCCCTGGCGCGCTCCGCGCGCCAGGGAGGGGGGTCCAGCGCCGATCCGAGAAGTCCGCGCGGACCTCCGAGTTTTTATGTTTATGCCACTTTTTGTTCCCCTAGGGCAGGCGGAGGGCAGGGGAGGAGGGAGCAGGAAGCAGAGGAGGGGGGAGGAGGAGAAGCGTGAGGCGGTAGAGGAGCAGGAAGAGCAGCGACAAGAGGAGCAGGAGGAGAAGGAAGAGTATTCGGAAGACGAAGGGAAGAGGTACTGGCAGATGAGGGAAGGGCGGACTTCGGGGAGGCAGGAGGACATCAGTTGTCGGCAAGTGCCAGCACGTGACGAAGATGAGGAGGATGAGCCTGACGATGAGACATTAAGAGGAGGAGGAGGAGGAGGAGGAGGAGGAGGAGGAGGAGGAGGAGAAGGACAGGAGGAGGAGGGGGGAGCGAGATGACGCTGAGGAAGAGCTCGAGGAGGAGGGAGCGCAGCCGCGGCATCTGGGCTGCCTGTCCCCGCTTGGCGCTGGCGGCTCGGAGGGAGGCCTCGCAGTCCAGCTCCCTCCATCTCCCCTCCGCTCCACTCCCTCCCCCCCGCACATCTCTCTTCTGCCCTCCCCCATCCTCCTCTCCCTCTCCCCCGCCTCCTCTCCAGGCCACCGCTCCGGCGAGCCTCCTCTCGCTCGCCCGTTCCGCGGCGTCGCCCTCGCGCGCGCGGCATGCGCGCCGGCGAGCTGCCGAGCGGCGGCTGCTGGTGCCGGGACGGGGGCCGGGACCTCTTGCTTCGGATGGGAGCCTTGTGTCCTTCGTCTTAAGTCGGGCCTGTCTCTCTACAGGCGGGATGTTCGAGAATAGTCAAAGGATAGTCTGGAAACGATGTGTCGACTATGTTTGACTGTTGTTGCGCATGTTGTAATTATGTTTGATGTTTCTTCCAAAGTCCTTCTGTAGGAGGACATGCCCGACCTAACTTTCGTTCTCCCTCTCCTCCTCAATGGTCCAGCGCTCGGGGTGCGTTCCTGCGTCCGCTCCTCGAGGTCTGCCTGCTGCTCCTCAAGACCCTTGCTCCTCGAGTTCCTGCTGTTGGATGTCGGCCACACATAAGCATCGAGGCTGTTGCGCTCTTCCCTCATTCCCCTACTGCTCCTCCCCTCCCTCCCTCCATTCCTCCTCCCACCTCCATCCCTTCTCCTCGTCCACCATTCTTCCTCCATCTCATCCTCGTCCTCCACCTCCTCTCGCTTCGTCTCCTGCCTGCCGCTGGGGGAGCACCGCAGGTTGGAGGCAGAGGCGGGCAGCCGGGCATGCCGACCACGGAACGCCCCTGTGGGAACTGACTCGGTTGCCCAACGCAAGTGCTGTACTTCTGCTGGTTTGGCGACTCGCCTTCGGGCCCCCAAGTCATGCTTCGGCGGCAAGACAGTGGTGGCCAGGGGCGGCCCCCTAATTACCCACTGGCGTGCATTTTGGGAGCGCGGGTGGAAGCAAGTACTGCGGCCCACTGGATCATGCTTCGGGGCCCCTTGAGCCACCCCGAGCTACTTTCGGCCGGTGCGATTCTGAGGGGTACTGGACACCAGAGCTGGACCTGAACGCTGTCTTGCTGGACTTCGGCTGAGTTCTGCTTTTCGTTGTGGCAGGGAGGTGCAGGACAACAGGTACTCCAGATTTCGTAATAAAGGGAGGGGGGTCTCATTCCGGGGGGGGTCACTTCCAGGCTATCTTGGAGGGCCTGGGGGGGTCTGGGGACGATGTTGGGGAGGGTTCTCCCACGGGGGGGGGGGGTCTGAAATGGCTTGTCTGGGAGGGTCCAGACCCCCTCCCTTTGATTACGAAATCTGGAGTAGAGCAAAACGAGCCACGAAACGGCACCACAACGAACAACAGCGCTTGGGCCCAGCCCTGCTGGACACCACCACGCTGCGGTCGCTGCCCCCCCCCCCCGCCGCCCTCCAACCCGAAAGGCGGGCGAACGCCGCTCCACGCCGACGGCGGTCCGCGGTCGCCCACCCAGCTGACACCTTCCCCCTCCTCCTCCTCCTCCTCCTCCTCCTCCTCCTCCTCCACCTCCTCCTCCTCCTCCTCCTCCTCCTCCTCCTCCTCCTCCTCCTCCCTCCTCCTCCTCCTCCTCCTCCCCTCCTCCTCCTCCTCCTCCTCCTCCTCCTCCTCCTCCTCCTCCTCCTCCTCCTCCTCCTCCTCCTCCCCTCCTCCTCCTCCTCCTCCCTCCTCCTCCCTCCTCCTCCCTCCTCCTCCACAGTTACACAATATGAAAATACTCTCCCACTTCCCCTGATGGCGTCCCGAAGATATCCGACCCCCCCCCCGCGTAGTGTTTTTTTACACACAGGATTCCCGGGAAACGGGTTTTCGCTTGTGTTTTTTTTCAAAATGCTGCTCTCGCCGAGGCGCCGGCCTCATTTTCGGGCCCCGCTCGTTCCGAATCGTGCTCCCGCTGCAGCGCTGGCCTCATTTCCGTGCTTCCGCTCGTTCCGAATCGTGCTCCCGCTGCAGCGCTGGCCTCATTTCCGCGCTTCCGCCCGTTTCAACTCGTGCTCCCGCTGCAGCGCTGGCGTCATTTCCCGTGCCATGCCACAGCACACGCGCACACACGCACACACACACACACACACCACCACCACCACCACCACCACCACCACCACCACCACCACCACACCACCACCACCACCACCACCACCACCACACCACACCACACCCACGCACGCACGCACGCACGCGCACCACCACCCACTAGTCCGCGGATAGAGAAAATCAGCGCCATGGTAAGGGATGGGAGGGAGGGGTAGGACGTCAGATATGACGCGCGCGCACCTAGCTTGTCCCCCCCCCCCTCCTCCTCCTCCTCCTCCTCCTCCTCCTCCTCCTCCTCCTCCTCCTCTCCTCCTCCTCCTCCTCCTCCTCCTCCTCCTCCTCCTCCTCCTCCCGCCCCTGCCATGTTTTGCCCTGACCCCAGGCCTCCCAGGTGGGGTCCGAGTACAGTCGGCCTGGATTAGTAGATCGACCCCCTGCCAAGTCAAGGGTACCTCTGTGTCCTGCGTTTCGCGACCCGTGCCTCCTGCATTCCTGTGGCAACGTGGCCCCCGGAAGGGTCTTTTGTCCTCTCGCGTGTCCTGTCCAATGAAGTCCGACTGTAAATGGGGTCGGAGGTTCGCACCTCATCGCTGATGCACCGGCGATGCGCCGCGACGCGGGCCCCGCCGTTTGTATCGCTTCGCTCATTCCGCCGGGCCGTGCAGAGTCATCGTTGCCGCGTGCACGTCTGGGCGTGGCGACTGGAAATGTGATCATATGCCCGTGGCCGCGAGAAGTCTGGAAGGCACTCGATGGCTTCTCGGGGCACTCTTGTGATCAAATTGGGTCGTGAACCATATGCCTCTCTGGGAGGCTTACTGGGGTCTCTTCGGAGGCATATCGGGGGCTTGCGGCAGTGGACCAGCTTTTTCTTTGGAAGGCTTGTCGTGGTCCCCAGCTTGGGGTATCTTGTGAGCCCTTTCGGGGACTCCTTGCTGGCATTGTCGTGACTTCCGGGGGCCCCCTGGGGGCTCACGACAGCCTTTTGGCTCCATGGGGGCCTTTCGGAGGCTTCCTGAGGGCTCGTTTGGCGGACTCGGGCGCCATCTTGGGGAGCAGGCTCGACATGTGGTGAGTCTGGATTCCCCCTCTTGGGATTAAGTCGGGCCTGTCCCTCTACAGGAGGAATATTCAAACATAGCTTTAAACAAGAAAATAGTCTGGGGGCGATGTTTCTAGCATTGGTTCTGTTATGTCGAATATGTTTGGTATATGTTTAAGTTTTCGTCCAAAATCCGACTGTAGGGAAACACGTCCGACTTACGCTTGGGGCCTTCTTAAGAAGCCCTCCCCCCTCCCTCCACCCCCTTGTGCGCGCCGCCAAGTCCTGGGTGGTCGGAAGCCCGCAAAGGCGCTAGTACCAAGATCTTCCCAGATCCGTGACAGATCGAAGCGACAGGAATGATTCCTGCCTCTGGGAGCCCCCTGCGGGGCTTGTTGTCGCCGTCTTGGGCGCCACCTGGGACGTCTTCGAGCGATCGCGTGCGGGTTGGAGCGCTCTTGGCTCGAGGGCGTGGGGCCTGCCACTTCTGTCTACCCTCCTTGGGGCGCTTCGGTTGCGCACTGGGGGTCCAGCATCTATGTGACCCGGACCTGCCTGGGGCATGTCTCGCCCAGGGACCCCCAGGGGGCTGCAGCGCGCGCGAAGTAGAGCTTCTCACGGGAGAGTTTCGCGCGCCTCCGGCCCGCTGGGCCGGCGAATTTTCTCCACGCCGACGGCGCCGATGCATCGCGGGCCGCGCCGATGCATCTGC